CCAAAATGAGATCCCAGGCCCCGTGCTCTGGCCGTGCTTCACCTCTGAAGGCAGCAGCAGCAGCACTGCTGCTGGAACTAATTAAAGGCAAATTGGTAGAACCAGGGGCCATGACATGAGAAAATATCCTGCACAGCATCCAAGAAAGCCACCAGATAATCCAAAAGGCTGTTTAAGAGCCTGGCTGTCAGAAACCTTGGAATCTGCCAGGCCCATTGCAAGCAGTGGCTTGTTCCCTCATCCCCTATCTCTTCACCTTAATTAGCTACAGCATTTCAGACCAGTGCCCAGCCCAAACAATCCCCTGTGAAAGCCCTGCTTCCACACAAGGAGCAGAACCTGCAGATCCTGAAGGATTTATTAAATCTGACATCTGAAATGCCTCTTGTCCTCCAAAGGTAGCAAAGCCAGAATGCTTCCAGGGCAATCCAAGTGATTCCACCAGAAGCACAGTTCCTAAGGGTTTGTGTGGCTGCAGCATTTCCCCCAAGGTCAGGTGTTTATCCTCTGTCCCCTCAGCCCTTCAGGAATTGCATACTTGTTTTACAGCTGGAAATCTCCCCCATAGCATGGGGGTGGAACGGGATGAACTTTAAGGCCCCTCCAATCCCATTCAGGGATTGTCTGAGATGATTCCATGACCAGATGGGCTGAAGCTGTGGAGCACAGGGACAGATTCGACTCTCACTGCCAATACARACCTGTCCTGGAATCACATCCAAATAGAAGAGATTTCAACCACTTCAGGTTGCACTGGTTACCAAAYACATCAAATTCCAGGAGGTTCACACACCATAAAAAAACATTAACTGCCCCAATTCCTGGGCCACTCCCAAAAGCAGGTGTCTGCCTGGGGCTTAGTAAAGGATTTTTTTTTTTTAAACCACAAGTTTGGTGTCTAAAACATCCATTAATGCTGTAATTAGACTGTGTTCAGAACCATCACATGAGTCTCCACCAGTCAGTAACAAAAGGAACAGCTTTGCTGGAATTCCATCAGGGAATTGTCCCAGTGCAAGGGCAGAGGCTCTTTCCAGCCCTCTGGGAAGCCCAGCACACCCCACACACAGGTACAGCCAAGCTTTCCTTACCCACATTCCTCAACAAGCACACCTGGGGCAGCCCCTCCAACSCCTCACCAGCAGATAAATCTCATTTTCTTCACACACACTGGGCCACCTTCTTCCCAGCAGTGCCAGGCACAGGGGTATGTGTGTAAATAATTCCCCTTCCCAAAAGGCCAGGCTGCCTCTGGTTCTCCTGACAATTCACTCCTCAGGCAGCAGAAGGTTCAGATTACAAAGGCACCTCACTCAAAGTGATAACTTCCCATTTTCCAACAAATCCTTCCAGAAAACATYGCTCTTGGCTGCTGCAGTTGCTCCCCCACCTCCCTAATAATTAGTTTTTACTCAACAGCAGATGCAGTTGCTTTCTTGTAAAAACCCCGAGTTGAAAGATGACTTCTTTCCCCCTGCCATCACCCATTGTGTGGGGAGACAGACAATATCCCATTGTTCCCTGTACAACACTCAGAGCTGTACCTTCTGCTCCCAACACACTGAAACTCTACTTGAGGCTGCAGCAATTTCCATGCAGGAGGCAAAGGAGAATCTCGTATCTGATCTAATAGCGGATAAATCAATGTGCACTCATTTATTGTTTATAGCTCCCAGCAGCTCAAGGAGACACTGTCCCAGAGATTCAAGGCTATCCACGCTGCCTTTGTGGATGGAAAACAGACACTGCACTCRGGAGATATTTTGAGAACTCTGTTCAAACATTTCCCAGGAGTTGGGGAGGGATGGGAAAGCACTGAACCCTGGCAGGTTTTCSTCACTCTCAGAGCAGGATTTTGGGAGGTTCACATCTCCACTTTTTGCCTTCTGCAGAAATTCAGTTCCCTATTAGTCATTCCCCTCAGGCAGGTATGAGGGAGCATAATTGGAGTTTGTAAGGAGATGCTCAGATAAGAGGTGCAAGGGAAGGGCAGCGTCACATTCATTACTGAGGTGATGCAAGAGCTTCTCCTTCTCTCCTTCAGCTRCTGGAGCTGGAAAGAGAAATTACCCAGCCCTTACCCAGTGCAGCACCACAAGGATCACATTTTYCTGGATGCAGTCTGAATTCCTGTCAACTTTTTAGGGTTCTGACCCTTTGTGGTGGCTGCAGACAAGAGCTCCCTGGAAGTCCTGTATCCCAGCACAAGCTGAGCAAGGCAGAGTTTAATATTTCTCCCCACGCAAGTATTTTCTCTCATTAAATGCTTAAGAGCTGGAGGATTTGGGATATTAATTTTTGCAGCTGGACATTTTCTTTTAAGAATATAATTTTCCACACAATTTTCTCCTTTRGCTTTCTTTTATTCTAACCCCAAGACATCCACTCATCCAGGAGAGGACTCTCCTGCAAGGTTTGGAAAGGATTTCTCTCCTGCACTTCAGTCCTTTCCTTTCACATCTGCTACAGCCTTGCTTTCAGAAAACCTTCTTTCTACTTATTTCAACCCAGAAACTTGTCTCCATTTCCAGACAACCAACACCAAGAAYCCCAAACTACAAATTCATTTATCCAAAGACCCGATTGCAACAAAGCCACAGTGTGGATAGAGTTGTTTTGTTTTGTTTGTTTGTTTGTTTTAATTTAAAAGCACAAGAAGTTCCTTAAAAAACACGAGAACTGACACACTGAACCACACAAGTACACAGCATTCAGTGACATGGTTGTGACAGGCTGGAGAACGGATTAAAATTTAGAGGAGTTTGTGCACACAGGAACACAAAGCAAGAGTGAGATTTAATTATTGTCAGCCTCAAACATGTGATTGAACAAAGGGCAGCGACTGACACTTTGTCTGACCCCCAGTGTCACCTGGAAGAGGTGCAAACAGTCCCAGCCTGTTCTGGGGACACACTTGAGCAAAAGCTTTGTGTTCAAGCTCCCACTGAATCCCTTGGAGGTGATGATGGTCAGGCACACTAATGAGGGAGCTGCTCCTCCAGTTTCTGGCTGAATATTCAATTAGGAAAGTTGAGGCAAAAGGAAGGCAAAGCCAGAAGGAAACAGCCTCCTGACCTTCCCTGTCCCCATGTCCCCATGTCCTCATCAGCACCCTGGCAGGCTCTCTCTACCCTGACAAGGACTTCCAACACACTCTTTTTCCCTGGAAAGGAAAAGCTTCTGACTGAAAACGTGGCATCACACAGTTCTGTTAATGCCATTTCAGCCCCCAGCAGCCCAGGGGAGGCAGAGCAGAGGGGACACACTTGATCCCTCACAGCCTCCACGAGACACAACTTTTACTGCATTTCACAGCAGATTTTCTGTGCAGGCAAAGAGGAAAAGCTGGACTGCACGTCCTGGTTTTTAAACAAGCTTACTTTTGCCAGGGCTGGTGTCARTGTGCTCACTCCCTGATTTAAGCTTCCCGCTTCCCAGAGATAAAYGTGCCTTTCAAGTTGTTGATGCCAGCCTTCCCCTCCTAATCCTTCATCCCACCCTGCCTTCAGAAGGCTCCATATCATYCCCTATCACTTCCACAGCATAAGCTCTATATTTCTTTATATTTGCAGTAAATCCAACTTTAACAGCGATTAAAACATACAGCAAAATAAGAGACATTTCATTTGAAGGAGCCCAGGAAATGAGTTCTCAAAAACCACACAGCGGTCTTTTTAAGCAGCACAAAATTGGTCCCTAAACAATTTCCCTGTATTTCAGTGTGGAGAATTTTGTTTATTAATACATTCATTCTCCTGCYTGTGCTTTAACACAATCGTGCTGGCTTCAAGCAATTGTTAAGCCTCACCCAATTTCTTCTTTGAAGGGATGGGAGGCGGGGGAAAGAAAAGAGGGAAGAGTGATTAAAATTAGTCACAAGGAATCCTATAAATACCCCCGTGGACGGAGGAAGAAATCTCTCTTCTATTTAACTTAAAAATAGAGAGCTAAACTTTGAAAGACAAACAGATGGGATGAAGTAAGGATGCAGCAGAGCTTAAAGAAAGTCAACTGGGCAATTTAGTCAGGAATCTGTATTGTGGGGTGGGAGAGGAGTAGGAGGGGGGAGGGAGAATTTTGATTATCCAAAACTAATGCCTGACTGGAGAAGTCAAGAAGGAGAAAATTAAGGAAACCCATCTTATTGCCAGAGGAATCAAATCTCAGAGGCAGCATGGCACAGAGGTATAATGTGGAAAAAAGGGATGCCCAGCCAGGAAATGATGCATTTGTTCCAAATGTTCAGCCTGTGGCAGCAAGGGCTGGAACAGGATCACAAGACCTGAGTGTGTGTGCACCTGCAATGTCAATTGGAAGTCACAGGGATGAGCCGGACAGACTGCTCAGACACCTCCAGGGAGGTGTAACACCAACCAGAAACTCACTGAACACTCAGACACAGCTGCTGGCCACAGCCAACCTGCTGCAGGGTGAGGCTTGAACAGAAAAGCAAAGCTTCTGAGGGATGGTGGCTGCTGTTTTCCCCCTCCCAATGCTCACAGGCTGGCTCTGCCCCACTAAACAGCAGGGGCCAACATGAATATATTGTCTAAAAGTACTGCAGGTCCTTTGATAAGAACACAATAAAGATGGGGAAGGGATTTATCAACACTTCCCTTCTTGCAAAAATCAGAATGCAAACTATAAATAGACAAAACAAGGGTTGCAAAGGGCAGATGTTTATGGTGTTGGGGAAATGCCACATGAGATAACTGCAGTGGGACAGTGCCAAGGGAATGAGAYGTGCAGGAAAGGGCTTAAGGTCACAGGTTGCTGCAGGGAAATCACAAAATCGTGTGTTAGAAACGGCACTGTAGGGGCCATCCAGCCTGTGCTGTGTCACACGGAACTGAGAGCAAACGAGCAGCACAACAWGCGACTTCCTGACCTGCTTTTATCAGACAGCCCCAGGACACCGAGTGACAGCTCTGGGACTCTCAGGTCCTGGCAGGCACCGGGAAGAGACAGACATGGGGCAGGGAATGACAAAGTGCTCTTACTTTCGTTAGGCAGCTCCTCCCGATCCAGGTCATCCAGAGGGGCTGAGGCGCCGCTGCCGCTGTCGTCCAGGGTGAGGATGAGGGGAACATCATCGTCCATGCTCACAGCCATCCCGTCCCTTCCGCGGCTCCTGCTCACGGAGCTCCCAGGATCACCTTTTCCAGTTCCACTTGGCAAACGCTGGTGTCAGAACCTCTCCCGGGAGAGTCCTCCACCGGGGCGGTCTGCCGGACACACGGACACAGCAGTGCGTGCGCCCATCTCCGGACACCACAGTTCCAAAAAGCACCGAGCTGACTCCCCAAAGCGGCGCAGGACACCGGGCTCGGTGGATTTCAGCCAAGCTCAGCTCACAAAGCGAGGCCGGGGCTGCCTATCCCCGCCGGCGCACGGCTCGCAGGATAAACCGATCCTCGGAGAACTCCTGAGCCCTCGGCACCGGGAGCGGCGGCATGGTGCTAAGTGTCCCCGGCACACATGGCTCTGTGCCCCGCCGTGCCCAAGCGCCGCGGCCGCTGCTGGGGAGGGCAAGGCGGGAGCACCGGAGGCCGCCTGGAGTCCGCGCACATGAAGTTCCCGCAGGGCTCTTTTTAACTGCGCGATGCCACAAGGTCACGGATTTCTCTAAAAGGTGATGGAAAAGGAAAATGAGGCAGGCCCAGGACAGCGCCACGGGGGCAATCCACAGGCGCGGTGCCTGTCCAGGGAGAGGGACACCGGCACGGCGCTGTCACCGCGCTGGGGAGGCCCGGCCCGGCGCCTTCCCCGCGCCCCCCCGCCCCCTCCTCCCACCTCTGGGTGAACCTGCTCCTCACCAGCCCGCCGTGCCCACGGTCCCGGGACTCCCTGGACCCTTCGCACCCTGCCGGGACCGCCCGGCCCGTCCCGGGACGCCCCAAACCCCCCCGGCCCGTCCCGGCCCCGCCGAACCGGCGCCCGCAGCGACGCGGCTCCTCCKCGCCCCGCCCCTCGCCTGCCATTGGCTGACACAGCGCAGGCCCCGCCCCAAGAGGTGTGGCTTCTCCCGCTTCCGCCAATCCGCGCGCTGCGCCCGCCACCACCTCCTGCCAGAAGCTCCGCGTTATTCCCGCCTCYCCCCGCCCCTCACGCACCTCGCCTCGCCATTGGAGGGAAGCGCYGTCMGTCACGACAKACCTGAGTGCTGATTGGTCCGAGYTGGTGGGGGTGGGCTCTGTGGGGAMGGAAAGCGGGCTGCCATTGGCTGCGCCGAGGCCCCGCCCCCGGGTCAGGGAGGAGAGGAGCGGTCGCCGGGCAACGGCGGGACGCGGGCGGGGAGGCTCGGGGACCCCTGAGGGGAGCAGGCCCGGCACCCAACCCGCTCCTGGCCTGCGCCAGCCCCTTTTCCCCGCTCCGGGAGGAGACATTCCTGTTCCCAAGTTCCTGCTCCCAGGCCCCGTTGGCTGCAAGAATGAGTCGGGCGCTGAGTCGGCCCAGCCCGAGCACAGTCGGTGCCGTGAGGGACATCCAGGAGCAGTGGCTCTCAGAAAGGTCCTGCAGGAGATTAGTCCTGTTCAGGTCAGGCTGCTGCCTCTGTCAGGTTATCACCTGCTCCTGCCAGCTATGCTGGTTTTTGGACTGTCCCTGCTCCATCTCAATGCTCCACTGACTTCAGTAGAAAACAGCCCTGCAGCAACACAACCCCCAAGTAAGCAACAAGTCAAGGAGTCGGGGTGGAGTCAAAGGTGSAGAGTGAGATTTATGTCAGTGCTGAGCAGGCAGAAAAACAAGAGCAGCGGCAGCAGGGAGGAGCCGCAGCTTGATTCAGGCCTCTATCAACAACTCTCAGCTCTGAGCTGAGCACCAGTGACACTGGACAGGCTGGATCTAGAGCTAGGAAACAATTAAACATTTCCCCCACCTGATTTGATTCAGGTTTAATGTGCCTTTTTCTACACAGGCACCAGTTCCAGCAGTAATAGAGCAGCTTTTGCTCTTGTGCTGAGCTGCACAGCCCTTGCAGAAAAAGGACAGAGTAGCAGAAAAGCACCAATGTGAGTTGAATATCACAGAAGAAAATGCAAACAACCCATTTATACTTAACCAACATTGTCCTCTTGGTGTAAATRTCAAGGAAGTGACAGTTCTAGAAGCCCTTGGTGACAACCTRGRCCAGTGTGGGACAGGAAAGTGTGTGGTGATGTGATGGCTCTGATTCCTTGAAGCCCCAACAAGCAGTGGAGGTAAAGTGGCCAATCCTGGCCATAAACAAACTGTATCTGTTTTTCAGATAACATCTCTCTTTATTTTAAGAGGCTCCATCTTTCARGRACTCCAGCTCTCCAAGACTGCACTGGTTGAGTTCTCTGCTGTTGAGATTCCAGGGCAGTTCCCTCAGTTTGCTGACAACTCATCCACCTGCTGCTGGGGAACAGAATTCCTGCTYTTGTCAATCCTCAACCCTCTTGTCTCCATCTAGTGTCCAAACCACACTCGGGTGCTCTCCCAACCCAGTGAGACATGTAACCTGCCCAGCTTGCACATCACTGTGCSCACATCCCAAATAAGGCTGAATAAGCTCAGGTTGACAACAGCACCCCCAACCCCTCCTCTGAGAAAGCCACAATTGTTCCATGTCTCTCCAGGTGGAGAAGAGCTGCTGGACTACCTCAATGGGAAGTGTAGGGAGAGATCTGAGAGCTTGGAGCTAATCACAAGGATCCTCATGCACCTTCTCAGGTTTTGATAACATAAAGTTATTGAATCAGGCCAAGAAATAAGCACKTGCTGGAGTGGGTCAAGGCCCGATCCTGCTTCTGTTCAAGGTGCAATAAAACCATTTCTGGGAGCAGAATGATGCTCTTAACCTGGCCTGATGTGTCCTTGGGTGAATTTGAGCACTTCCCTTTGCATGGGAGTTACCWAACGCCCAGTGACCTCAGCAGCTCCTCRCTGCAGCCTCCCTTCCCAGGGAGCAGAGACTGCAAACCCCAAATCACCCACCCTCTGTCCCTTATCCGCATCCACACAGACAGAGCTGYTCTTTCCCACCTCAGGAAAGGAAATGGAGATCACTCAGCAGCAYCCCAAGATCCCAGATCTGCCTCAGATCGTTTATTTGGTGACAGCATGGCACTGCTGGGAGCACCTCACAACCCTCAGCACCAGCCACACAATTATGTGTCCACTCAGCGCCTCCTCATCACCACGAGCTGCCGAAATCCCTGCGCAGATCCTTGTCTGTCACAAAGCCCATCCAGCCTGGGTCCATCCCACTGCCAGCAGAACCAGGGCAGTGCTGCTCCTCACCTCTGTGCTTCTCCCTTGTCCTGCTTGGCTGGGACAGTCCATAAGGCGTTGATGACATGGAACAAGGACAGCACGGAGACACCAAGGCACATCCTGTGCACAGAGACAGAGGGAACTGAGCTCATTTCCTGGAGAAGGGAACCTTTTGGGGGGCCTCAAAGCAGCCTTTCAATACCTGCAAAGAGGAGGTGACTGTGAGGGTTGGGCCAACCTTTGTAGTCAGGTGCAGAATGAGTGTACAGACACAAAATCAAACTAGAAAGGCTTTGACTGGCTATAAAGGGAGACTTCACCTCAAGGGCAGTGGAGGAGTGTGAAGGGGGCCAGAGAAACCGTGCAGCCTCTAATCCTAGGGGTTTCCAGCACCTGACTGGACCTTGAGCAGGAGGTCGGACTTAGGGACCTCCTGCATTCCCAGATGCATCAAGCACAGACAGGATGAAGGAGGATTCCTTCACGTGGTCAGCAAAGGTGCCCATCAGGTCCCTCACACCTCAGCTGTCCCCCAGACCCCCACCCCAGCAGCACCTCCTGCTCTGGGAGCTCCATGAAGCTCAGCCCCTGCCTGTCCCCATGGAGCTACACTRTCCCTGTACCTGTGCCTGGATGGGCCCTAGACTATACTGTGGGCACTCGTGTCTCCTGCTGCTGCAACTTCCCAGCTGCATTTCCCAGACAGAAGGAACCTGCTGTGTTACCACAGCTCCTCTGACAACCACTGGACATCAAGGGCAGCAGCTGTTCCCACCAAGGCTATCCCACTCCAGTGTTGTGCTCTGAACAAGCAGATCACTGCTCCCAGCACTGTGGTCACCTGTGGCTCCTGGCTCACCTTCCAGCGGGGAACAGCCGCATCCTTCACTTCCAGCCATGGAAAAGCGCAGGGTCTTTGTGGGCCTGGTCACGAGGAAGCCTCATAAGGCTGTATRTACATCCAGAGGGACATTTGGCATCACTTCCAGGGTGGTCTGGGTTTGCAGCCACCTGCTGCCTTGGCATTCCTGAGCACAGGAGATCCAGACACGCTGTTGGACCGGCCCCTCACCAGAGGGCCCTGGGGGGCAGCAGGGGTTGTCGGAGCRCTCTGGTTTTTCCACCTTTCTGTGCTGAGGCCGGAAGACAGGCGAATCCTGTCCRGGGGGGTGCTCAGCCGGCTGACAGACTGGGAACGTCCTCTGCCAGGAGCACGCCAGCCTTCGGAGCAAGCATCGCTCCTGGGATGCCTCCAGCCATACGACTTGTCCTTGTGGCCGGGCTCAGATGCGGCCGGAGGCGCCGAGGCCGGTGGGTGGACAGCTCTAAGGGGTGTCCCCCTGGAGTGTGGGGAAAGGCCAGGCTGGTTTCGGGGTGCAGGAGAAGGGCTCCAGAGCAGCGTATGGAGCTTGGCTACATCTTCTTTTCTCATCCGCGGAGCTGCCCAGGCGGGACCCTGGGGCTTGGCACCGAACAGGGACTCRTCACAGAAGGACGGAGCGTGGCTTCGGGACCTTGGAGGGGGACAAGTGCAGAGACACGTGTTGGTTAGAGCGGGGRAAATCAGAGCGGGAGTGACCGAAAGCCGGCGGGGCAGCCGAGCCCGGGCTGGGGGAGTTGAGGGGCTCCATAGGCGCCCCGGGGACAGCGACGCGTAGTGAACCCCGAAACCCTGGGCAGCGGGGCCGAGGGAGCGTCCCGAGATATCGCTCACCTGCACTGAGTGCCGGGCCGGGAGCCGCCGGCAGCGGGAGCCACCGGAGCCGCCCAGGGCGGAGGGAAGGCGGGCGGCGGCGAGCGGGCCCCCGCGGGGCGGCCGAACAGCGACTCATCCACGAAGGACGCCCGCACCCGGCGGCGGCCCCGAGGGGCCCGCGGGGGACGAGGGGTGCTGGCAGCGAAGCCACTGCCCGGGGCCGGAGCCGCCGCTCGCATGGCCACAGCCCCGGGGCGGGCACGGCACCGGACCAGCCCCTTCCGTCCCCGCCCCCGCCGCGTGTTTCCGCCACCGGGACCGACATGGCGCCGCGCACCCGCCGCCAGCCCCGCGGAGCGCCGGTACGGGGGACGGGGGAACGGGAGGGCAGCGGGGAGGGCTCCGAGAGCGCCCCGAGAGCGGCGTGTCCCGTGCACTCCGGGCCGCTGTCTCTGCTGCSCCCGGTACTGGGGTTCCCGGGCTCCATGTGCCGGTGTCCCCAGTGCCCGTGTTCCTGGTACGGGTGTCCACTACCAGTGTCCCCAGTGCCAGTGTCCCCAGTACCCCCAGTCCCCAGCACTGGTGTCCCTGCCCGCCGTGCCAGCAGTGCAGAGCCGCAGTGCCCTGACACCCATCACCACAGCCGTGTACCCCGCTGTCCCCAGGTCCCTGTGACCCCACTGCCCGCCTTCCCCACCACTGCCGAGGAGGATGATGGGGCCGACGCCGAGYTGGACACTCAGGCCATGGTGCGGGCCCAGAACCAGAAGAAAAAGAAATCCGGGGGCTTCCAGTCCATGGGTGAGTGTGGGGCAGGGGAGCCGTACCTGGGACAGGGACTGTCCCTTCTGCCCACACCCCCTCATTTTTCCATGTGCCGCCAGGCCTCAGCTATCCGGTCTTCAAGGGCATCATGAAGAAGGGCTACAAGGTGCCCACACCCATCCAGAGGAAGGTGAGCATGGGCAATGAGTCCCTACCCTGGGGGGTGGCCGTGGGATGGTGACAATGACAGTGACTGGTATCTTGCAGACCATCCCGGCTATCCTGCGTGGCCGGGACGTGGTGGCGATGGCGCGGACGGGCAGCGGGAAGACAGCCTGTTTCCTCATCCCCATGTTCGAGCGGCTGAAGGCGCCCAGCCAGGCCGGGGCACGTGCCCTCATCCTCTCACCCACCCGGGAGCTGGCCCTGCAGACCCTCAAGTTCACCAAGGAGGTACAGGGGTCAACAGGCACAACAGGGCGAGTGGGGACAATGGGGGTGAATGGGCACAGCGGGGGCAATGGGTTGGTTTAACATCCCACCACCATGTTTCTTTCTTACCCCCCAGCTGGGCAAATTTACTGGCTTGAAGACAGCCCTGATCCTTGGAGGAGACAAGTAAGCTGTCCCCATGTCCCCTCCAGTGCCTGCTTCCCTGAGCCTCCCCAAAACCTGCTGCCATGTGCCAAACGAGTCTCTCCCCTCTTTTGCAGGATGGAGGACCAGTTTGCTGCCCTGCATGAGAACCCCGACATGTGAGTGGGGCAGAGGGAGGGGACCCAGTGGGGAAATGGCCACCAGCCATGCAGGGACATCACTGGTGTTTAGAGCCAGTGTGACTGATGGGCATGTCCTGATGTTCCCTCAGAGCATCTTCCTGTGGGGCAGTGGGGGCTGTATTGTGTCTTCTTTGGGCTGGATTTGGGACCTGCTCCCGGGATGGTGTGGGAACACTCTTTCCCCCCTGGCCTGGTCCTGTCACCGCCTCTGTCCCCACAGAATCATCGCCACCCCTGGGCGCTTGGTGCACGTGGCAGTGGAGATGAAGCTGAAGCTGCACACCGTGGAGTACGTGGTGTTCGACGAGGCCGACAGGTCAGCGGGGCACAGGGGCATTCCCAGGGCTGGCAGCGTCCCCTCATGTGGGGTGAGGTGCCCAGGGGTGGCAGGGAGGGACTTGCCACATCCGCTGTCCCCTCCTGTGCAGGCTCTTTGAGATGGGATTTGCTGAGCAGCTGCAGGAGATCATCGCCCGGCTCCCAGACTGCCACCAGACCGTGCTGTTCTCTGCCACGCTGCCCAARCTGCTCGTCGAGTTTGCCCGGGCTGGTGAGGAGAGGGGGGCAGGTGGCACTGGGGGAGCCTGGGGACAGGGACATGGCCCTGTCCTGCAGCCAGGCTGAGCCCAGCACTGGGAACACCGAGCTGTATTAACGCTGGGCCAAGCAGGTGTCCCCAGCAGCACATCCCATGTGTGACCCATGTCCTGTGTGTGTCACCACAGGCCTCACTGAGCCCATGCTGATCCGCCTGGATGTGGAGTCCAAGCTGAGCGAGCAGCTCAAGGTGAGACGGGCAGGGGGAGTTCAAGATGGGCTTTGTGCCCCCTGCCCTTCACAAGCCACCTGCTCCTGAAAAGGGGACAAGGGTGGCAGTAGTGGTACAGGGCTGAGCGCTGCCCTCTCATAGCTGGCATTCTTCCACGTGCGCGGGGACGACAAACCAGCTGTGCTGCTCCACCTGCTGCGCAGTGTGGTGAAGCCCCAGGACCAGACAGTCGTCTTTGTGGCCACCAAGCATCACACAGAGTACCTGAAGGAGGTAAGTGGCATTTGGGGGTGCCCAGCATGTGCTTCTRTGAGTGCCTTTGTGGGGTCTGCAGCTGTGGCAGGTCCCTGCTAGAATCTCTCCCTCTGTTTCACTGGGTTGAAGGAGAAATTCCAGAATRTGTGATCCTGGGGGTGCTGCATCCATTCACCCTCAGAGAGAGGGGGAGCACAGTGGGATTTGGGGCCTGGGTGGGCACGCTGGACTCTCTGGCCCTGTCTCTTGGCTTAGGGCACATGCCCAGGTAGGATCCAATCTCTCTTCCCCCCTGCTCAGCTGCTGACAGCACAGGGCATCCGCTGCACCCACATCTACAGCTCTCTGGACCAGACTGCCCGCAAGATCAACATCGCCAAGTTCTCCCAGGGCAAGTGCCCGGTGCTGCTGGTCACYGACGTGGCCGCCCGTGGGCTGGACATCCCCATGCTGGACAACGTCATCAACTTCAGCTTCCCTGCCAAGGCCAAGCTGTTCCTGCATCGTGTCGGTGGGTGCCAGTGCCCTCACTGTGTCATGACACTGGGGACAGACCAGGGACAGAGCAGTGTCAGAGACTCTCTGATGTCCCAGCTGGACTGTGGGGGCTCATGGGGACAGGAYTGGTACCTTGCCTTTAGGATGGCAYCACGGTGGSCTCCCCCTTGCCCCTTCCCCAGCCRCCCGCAGCCCCTTGCCAGCCATGCCCCCAATAGTAAATGTCCCATGTTTGGGGTCCTAGGGCCACGGGTGTCTCCCTGGCTGGTGGGGACAGGCTGAGCTGGCTGGGTGTGGTTTYCCACTCTCCTGCCCTTGCCAGGTCGCGTGGCCCGGGCTGGCCGGAGTGGCACTGCCTACTCGCTGGTGGCTCCYGATGAGATGCCCTACGTGTTCGACCTCCACCTCTTCCTGGGGCGCTCGCTCATCCTCGCTGGAGCCCAGGAGATGCCTGCTGGTGAGGGSTGGCTGTGTGGCCACTGGGGTGTTACACTGGGCCAGTGCTTTGTGGTCTTGTGGTGGGCCCTCACATAGAGGGACAATGGGGAAAATGGGATGTCGGGGGCTATGACACACCTGTGTGTCAGGGACGCTGATCAAACAGTGCCCAGCTCCCTGGGGCTGCCAGCTCTGCTCTAATAAATCCAGGCCGCATGCTGGGGAGGTGACACAGTGTCCCATGCACTGCAGACGCTGGCGGGGTCCTGGGCCGTGTCCCCCAGAGCCTGGTGGATGATGAGGAGTGCCTGCTGCTGACAGACCACGAGGGCTCGCTGGAGCTGCGCAGCCTCCGCCGCGTCGCCGACAACGCCCAGAAGCAGTACCTGCGCTCCCGGCCCGGCCCCTCGCCAGAGTCCATCAAGAGGGCCAAGGACCTGGACGTGTCCCAGTTGGGCATGCACCCTCTCTTCAGTGAGTGCTGAGGGGTGCTGAGAGAGAGGGCCCTGCTCCCCTCGCCAGCAAATTAACCTGTGCCCCTCTCCCTGCCCCCTGCCCCAGGCGCTCGCTTCGAGGACACCGAGCTGGAGAGGCTGAAGTTTGTGGACAGCATTAAAAGCTACAAGTCCAAGGCGGTGAGTTGAGATGGATGGCATGGCATGGCATGGCATGGCATGGATGGGATGGGATCCATGGGATGGGATCCATGGGATGGGATGGGATGGGAATGCCCACATGACTCCGTGGGAATCACGCTCCTGTCCTATGGACAGACCATCTTTGAGATCAATGCCACGTCCCGGACACCGGCCAGCACCGTGATGCGATCGAAGCGGCGCCACGACCGTGCCCTGATCGAGAAGTTCCAGCGTGGGCAGCAGGAGAAGCGGGCAGCAGCACTCAAAGGGCAGGGGCTGTGCCCAGGCCCCCCTGAGCCCCAGGATGGGGAAGRGGAAGGAGAGCAGGAAGACCTCCAGGTAATGGGGTTACGGGTGCAGGAACTGCTGCAGAGTGGCCTCAGCCCATGCTGGCAGCACCAGGTCCCCCAGATTGTCCTGGGGCTCCGGRGCTGGCACTCAGACTTGCAGGGATGGCGTGGGGACATGGCCAACCCCTCCACTGTCCCCATCCAGGACGTGTTCTCCAATGTGGGGGGCCAGAAGCGAAAACGGGGCCAAGGGGGAGAAGATGGTCCCAGGAAAAAGCCGCAGCAGCTGGCACAACCAGACGAGGACTTCTACATCCCCTACCGGCCCAAGGACTTCGAGAGTGAGCGGGGGTAAGTTTGGGGGGGCTCCTGTTGCAGTCCCATCCCAGYCTGGGTGGGGGCCACTCTCATCACCCTCCTTTGCAGGCTGAGCGTGGGTGGCGAGAGCAGCGCCTTCGAGCAGCAGGCGGCYGGGGCTGTCCTGGATCTCATGGGCGATGAGAACCACAACCTCAACAAGAGCAAGCAGCTGCTCAAGTGGTGAGTGGGCTCTGTCTGTAAGCTGGAGGGAGAATCGGGGCTGGGATCCCACTGCCCGGTCCCACCACCCTCCCCTCTCGCAGGGACCGCAAGAAGAAGCGATTYGTGGGGCAGACGGGCCAGGAGGACAAGAAGAAGGTGCGGACGGAGAGCGGGCACTACATCAGCAGCTCCTACAAGAACAACCTGTATCCTGCCTGGGCCGGGGGCTGTGGGAGCGGGGCTGGACCCACGTGTCAGGGATCCATCCCCTGCTAGGGCAGCAGTCGGGAGGGAGCACAGACACTGCAGCAGGTCAAGCAAGGAGCCACCACCTTTCCTTAACCCACCCATCCCAGCTACGAGAAGTGGAAACAGAAGTACAAGGTTGATGAGCGGGATGAGGATGAGGAAGGGCCCCGCAGCAGGGAGCAGTTCAGAGGGAAGCACAGGCGTGGGCAGGGTGAGTACCTGGAGCAGGTGACAGAGCCCCGCACTGACCCCCCAGCCTGGCTCTGTCCCCTCCCTGAGCACAGCACTGTCCCCCCAGGGCCTGCACAGCCCCCAGCACAGGGCAGGGTGCGCTCGGAGCTGAAGAACAAGCAGCAGATCCTGAAGCAGCGCAAGAAGGCGGCCAAGCAGCGCTTCCTGCAGAGCGGGGGCCTGAAGCGCCTCAAGGCCCGCAACCGGCAGCGGGTGCAGGAGCTGCGGCAGATGGCCTTCGGGCGCCGGGTGGGTGCCGCCAAGAAGGGCAAGCTGAGGAAGAGGATGTAGGGGACACTCTCCCCACGCCTGGGCTGGGAGCTGGGGCACAGGACAGTAAATATTGGCTGGGTTTGCATCCTGACTCCTCTGTGCTTGCTCCAAGCATCGCGCCTGGGGTCATTATGGCCACCCTGAGGCGCATGAACAAGCAGGTGCTGAAGCTCCACAGCGGGGATGTATTTTGATGGGAGACACCTTTGGAAATACCAACAGCAGCTCCTTCTACCTCCCCCTGCCTGGGGTGCTCGGTGCAGGAGGGGACCCTGGAGGTGCCCTGGCTCTGCCGCAGTGCGGTGCCACCGCTATCCATGTTGCCTGTCATCGTGGGGTTTCCAGACTTGTCAGGGAACAATCTCCAACTCCAGGGGTCCCGTGGCTCCACGCTGGCCCTGGCAGCCTCTCCCCAGCCCCAGGASCAGATAGATGGGTGTCCCCAAGGCTATTCCTGGCCCTGAGGCAGCCTGGCACCCCTGTGGTGCAGTGGGTGTGTGTCAGGGTCACAGATGTCAGCCAGGGCCCGCAGGCAGAGCAGCAGCTGCAGAGAGGGGAGCTTGATGCCACAGCCAGCCAGGGATGTAAATGTCCCCSTGTGTCCCCATGCCCAGGGAAGAGGCTGTGCTGACCATGTCCAGTTGGCCCTTGGTGTCCTCCTGGGCYCCGTCCATGGGGATCCTGAGCTGTGCCGTGGTCAGCTGGAAGAGGTTCAGCACAGCCAGCTTGATCTGCTCCAGCAGCAAGGTCTTCTGCGTGGTTGTGCTCTGGATCTGGGTCCAGCAGGACTCCTGGGGGACAGAGTGACCCCCCAGACAGTGCTCTGTGTCCTCCTGCACGCCCAGGAGAGACCCAGGAGTCCTGGCTGTGTGTGCCCCTCATGCAGAGTTGCTGCTTTCTGGGCACAGCTCAGCCCAGCAGCTCAGCCCAGCAGCTCAGCCCAGCAGCTCAGCCCAGCTTCCCCCCTCCATCACACCGGGCATCTCCCTTGTGCGGCACATCTGGGGTCTGAACTGCCGCCCCTCTCCCTGGGGCACCCCCTCTTCCCTTACCCACTGCAGCGCGTCTTGGCGAGCGGCCTCCAGGCGTGTGTGGAGCCGGGCCAGCTCGTCCCTGGTGGCCAGGAGCTGGGTGCTGCTCTCCTGTCGGTACCGCTGGAGCCGTGCCATGGCCTGGGCCAGCCGCTCCTGCCCGGCCTCTGCCTCCCGTGCCAGCGCCGCCCGCATCCCCGCCAGCAYCCCGAAATGCGCCAGCATGGCCGGCACGTCCTGGAACTGGGCAGCGGGAGGCGGCTGAGAGGCCGCAGGGCCGGAGGGATGACCGGGGACACGCGGGGTGACAGCAGAGGAGCCCGCGCTCACCTGCCCCATGGTGGCCAGCACGTCCCGCAGGTAGTCCCCGAAGGGCCGGAGGCTCCGCAGGCGCCGGGCCAGGCGCTCCCTGTGCCGCAGCAGCGCCTCCAGCTCCCGGCGCAGCCGCCCGGCCTCAGCCCGCTCCGCCGCCGCCCGTGCCCGCTGCTCGCCCTCCCGGCGCAGCGCCCGCTCCCGCCTGGCCGCCACCGCCTGCGCCGGGCACGGGCTCAGCGGGAACCCTCCGGCCAGCCCGGCCCGGCCCCCGCCCCCGCCCCGGCACCTTGAGGAACGAGTCAAATCTGAGCACGGCCTCGCGGTGCTGCTCTTCCCTCCGGGCCAGCTGCTGCCGGCGCTGCGCCAGGCGCTCCATCCGCCGCTGGAACTCCTGCGGGGTTGCAGGGAGCCGAGAGCATCGCCCCACGGTGTGCAGCCGAGGGTGCCAGCCCGTGGGCGGCTGGGGACACCCCATGGCACACCCGCAGCGCCCGGGGAGGGGACACCCGAGGGGCCGGGGCCGCCCTCACCTCTCGGTGCCTCTGCAGCTCCCGCTCCACCTCCGCCACCTCCCGCCTCTTCAGGAGCACACGAGTGGACGGCAGCAGCGTGGCGGAGTCCCGGACTGACCCCGTCCTGCTACGGGCTGCGTGGAGCTCGGCTGGGCTGGGGAGGGAAAGCCTGGGCTGGGGCATCTGCCACCGCGGCTCGGGCAAAACGCACCCTGCTGCCTCCGTGCTCAGCACGGGGAGCCTGGCCCGCTCCCCCGTATTTGCAGGGTGTGTCAGGAACCACCTGAGCCATCCCTACCTGCGTTCATGTTCCTGTCCACCCTCGCTCCTGCCCATCCCTCCCACTTCAGCCTCCCCCAATGGAGACCCCCCAGCACCAACGCTGTTCCCCAGGGAAGGACAAGTCACATCACAATCTCAGCTTTCTGAAGTCCCCACAGCTGGGATATCCTCTCCTCTCTGGGCACACAGCACCCACCCCGCCAGTGGCACCCAGAGATGGCAACACGAGAAGAGAAGACATAGGGTACACAGGACACGCTGGCCTGGTTGCCAACCCTTTGGGTCACCTCGGGCAGCGCCCGCCGCGGGTCGGACAGAGGGCTCTCACTCACAGCAGCCGCAGCTTGTCCCGCAAAGCCGCTCGAAAACGCTCCTCCAGCTGCGGGTCCATGGCGGCAGTGCCTCCCCCTCGGCCAGCGGAGGGGCTGGGAGCGGGGCAGCCGCGGCSGAGGCAGCACAACACTGTTGCCCGGGGCAGCCGGAGGCTCCCGCAGCTCCCGGGGATTTTYCTGGCTTGGCTCCGAGCGCCGCTGCACGGGCGCGGTGCTGGGAGCAGGGAATGCACCCGGGCTCCTTGAAGGGAAGGTCCCGCTCTCAGCCCTCAAACCACCCCATCCTCCCACCCACAGTCCGTCCCTTCCACTCAGACCCCACTCCAGCCCCTCAGAATTCCTCAGGCTCCACAGCCCTTAAGAGATCCCCCACCCCTATCCCCTCAGTCCTGCTCCAGCTCACACTAATCTGACATCCCAGGGATGGCTCAGACCCCATGATTTCACCCACAGCACACACCCTGCCTCTCTCAGTGTGTCTCAATGCTTCCCTTCCACTTCAGGTGCTTCAGGTMCCCTTTGTTCCCCAGTGTGTGCGCTCACATCCCCATTACCCTCCACACACACCCCACATGGAGCAGATTAACTCCTGACTTGGACACAGAGAACACTGCAGAAGGAATAGGGGACAAATATTTATAATAAAAACAATTCAGCCTCCCMAGAGTCAGTGTCACCAATGTCCTGCCCACACACCCCTTGTTTCTTCCCTCATCCCAGGACCACTGCGGCCCCGAGGTGACCTTCTCCATCCCAGAGCTSCTCATGGGGACTGAGCCAGAATCCCACATCGGAACTGGAGTCAGTCACAGGCATCAAGGTGAGCGGGAGCTCCCACACTCTGCCTGCGCTGGATGCCACCTTGTTTTAAGGACACCCAAAACAAGGAGGAAAACAGCAGAGAAGGAATGGAGAAACATGGCTGGGGAAGGACGGAGTGGAGCTGTGGAAAGGGTGAGTGGAGAAGTGGGAAGGCTCTGCCTGAACCAGCCTGACGCAGGATACTGAGGGCCCATGCTCAGCCATACACGAGGGCCTGCTTGATGCTGGACTCCAGCTGGAGCTCCCTGTGCTCCCTCAGGGAGGGGTGGAAGCTACGAGCTTCGTGTCTCTTCTCCTCTCACTTGCTGAGGAAAGACCCCRCTGTGGAGCTCATCACTGTCACCTGCACAAGCAGAGAGCAGCAGCGCCTCAGCGGGAATTCCTCCTCCCCAACAGCTGCTCTGGGAACAGCCACAGCTCAGCAGAGAGCAGGGGGCTCCTCACCTTCCGTCAGGCGGTTCAGGTRAGCAGCCCGGGCCCTGCTCCCACTGACCAGTGCCATGGCCTCGGGCTCAGTGCAGCTGCTCGGGGCCTCCTCGGGCCCCTTCCCCTCTTCGTCATCTTCAGAGTCCACCAGCACTAGGACATCCCCCGAGTCTGCATTCCTGCAACAGCAGAGCCAGCTGGATGCAAGGCTGAGGAGAGCCTGTTCCTGCCCTGCAGGAAGGCACGGTAGGGATGCCCTGCAGGAYRGGGCTCAGGAATGTCACCACTCACCTGAATGCAGCACCTGAATGGGAGAGAAGAGAGAGACAGCATTAGAAACCACCCCTCTCTGACAGTGCCACTGGTTTTACTGGACTAGACAACCCCTGCCAGTCCTGTCTCAGGTCTGTGCCTCCCCCAGATGGTCAGTGACAGCCCCATGCAGAGGCACAGATTTGGAGGTGACTGCCCACACCTGGCACACACAACCCTGACGGACCCCACCACACCGGGAGGGACATAAACCCATGGTCAGGGATAAACCCCCARGAACTGACCCCTACCTCTCAGGCACATCAGGGGGTTGTAGTACAGCACGACCCCAGTGACGGTGAGAACAGCCAGCAGCGACAGCACCACCACCGCACCCACGACCCCGACAATGTTCACCGGCTCTGCGGAGAGGGACACAGCAGGAGCTTGTCACAGGACACTGACGGCTGAGGAACTCCCAGAGCCCTCCTGCCAGGGCCCCACTCACGCTTCACCGTCAGGCACACCAAGAGCTCCCTGAGCCCCACGGGGTTCTGSGCCTTGCACACGTAGCAGCCGCCGTCGGTGCCCTGCGAGCAGTTGCGGATGGTGAGGCGGGACACGTTGCCCTCCTGGGCRATGAGGAACCTGCCCCCGGGCTGGATCTCCACCTCGGGCTGGCTGATGTCTCTCAGCCAGCTGAGCCGAGCTGCAGGGGTGCCCTCGGTCACCCGGCAYGTCAGCGTCACGTTGTCACCCACCAAGCAGGTTTTGGGGGGCTCAGATTCCAGGGAGGGGAGCTCTGAAGAGCCCGAGGGGGAAAACAAAAACAGGAGTCAACAAGAGTGAATGGAGCCAATAAACATAATGAGCAATCAAGCTTCTGGCTGATTAATAATCATTAACAGAAGGGAAGTAGGCAGGAGTCTGGGAGCTGTGCACYGTGGGTTTGACATTTGGCTCACTCAGGAGCCTCTCAAGGAGTGACCTGAGCAGCTTCCACAGTGCTCMGTCCTTTTTGACACCTGTCCTCATATCCCAAGGGAAAAATGGCCTGAGGGTAGCCAGCAGGTGGATGGCAGAGAGGAGAAGAGCAGCACAGGAACCTCCCTTGGGAGCAGCAGAGATCTTGTGACACCCCTTGGAGGATAAACACAGCCCAGGTTTTCAAAAGCCACTCAGATCCCTGAGATGCTTGAAGGGGTTTGAGGCCACACACAACCCTTCACCSCTAAACCCAGCCCCTCAAGCTCCCTACAGCCCCAAAGCACCTCTCTCTTTCCCCCAAGTGTGTGTGAAAGCCTTCCACAGGTGACATCGTTGCTGTGGTGAGATTTGTTGGCCCCTGAAGATGGCCCAAAACACAGCTCACCTGTACCTGTGCCCTGATGAATCTCAGCTGCAGCATATCTGTCACGCAGCCTCCTGGCTTCCCTGACCACCTCTGTGCTCCAGAGGGCAGGAATGACCCACCTGCCCCACTTTCAGCAGCCTAATTAGCAGTTAATGAGGCAGAAAATCCACTCACTTATCTCCACGGTGCAGGCAGGCTGCTCCTGCGTCACCACGTGGCTGCCCACACACTTGAAGACTTTCCGGTGGGAGAGGTGGGAGCTGTTGAGCGTCTCCACGTGTGTGTCCGAGGAGCTGCTGGAGCTGATGACCCAGCTGGARTTCTCCAGGTCCTGCCCCTCTTCTCTCCAGTGCAGGGTGGGGTGGGGGTACCCCCCGGGCCACCTGCAGAACAGCTGCAGCAKCAGCCCCGAGGAGGTCTCAGCCCAGCATTTTGGGGTTGCCTGTGGTGGATCTGTCAGCAAGGACAGCACGTGGTCAGAAACACTCCCAGGGCTGGAATTCATTTGTCATCGTTCCCCTTGAGTATCTTTCTGCTTTCCCTGCCACTCTTGGTCCTGCATCCCAAAGCTCTGACAGGCAGGAGGGACCCAGAGGGGAAAAAAAAAAATATTGCCACAGTTTTAACCAATGCAAATGAGATAAACACCTAAAAACACACTGGGAGAATGAAATCCCACTGCCGTGGTTCTCATGCCACAGCTTCCAGGGAGGGACACTGGGTCACCACCTGAGAACAAGGCACAGTCCTGCCTCTCTCCCAGCTGCTCCTTCCACACACAGATCATCCAGCACGTGCTGGTTTAACAGGYAGAGAGATTCTGGATTCTGGACTCTGATCCAGGCAGAATCAACACCCTGTGCCTCTGTGTGTGCCTAATCTGGTGCTAAAAACCAGACAAGAGATCAAACCAAAGCAAGCCCCACACCAGAGGTGCCAGAGGGATGTCTGAGGCTTATTTTGGGGACGATTTATTCAGGGGACTTTCAGATTACTCAAATTAATAAAACAAAGATGGCAACCTGCCGTGTGAGCTGCAAGAACACACCTTGCTGGGGCTCAGCTCTCCAGGAACTGCACACACACCTTGGATGATCTTTGAAACCACCCAGCTCTGGCAAGAAAGTTCCCTGCAAAGCTCCCTCCATCCCAGCCCTGGACAAAGGGAGCATCAAACTGATCCCAAACCCTGGCTGTGGTTAGGAGGGTATCCTGTCAGCCTGAACCACATCGAGGGGGACACAGCCATTTCCAGGATATCCAGCCAGAGCTGYACTCTCTGTGCTGACCCCAAGAACTGCCTCCCAAAGCCATCAGCCTAACATCCTGAACTCCCAGGCTCTCCCTAAACTCTGTCCAACCAAGAGATCTGCTCCCACAATGGTAACAAACCAAAAGCCTAAAAATCTCCACCCTCCCAAACCACAGAACCTCCAGCAGAAAGGACCTGCTGTGGTTTGACCCATGGAGGAGCCACCATCAACCCTCACAGATGTGCCAAGGAATCCTGGGGAGGTGTGGAACTGCACGTCTCCTTCACAGGTGCTTCCCATCCAAAACAAACACAGAATCACAGCCCAAGGCAGGGCTGCACCTTTGTCCTGTCATTCGAATGTTTACCCTGCTGCTTGTGGGGTTTTTGAAGTGCTGTTTTAAACAAAAAGGAGAAGTTCTTGGTACCACCCATGGGATGGGTTGAAGACTTGTCAGCTGGTAGTTCCCACACACAGCGGTGCCAAATCTGTGTCCAAATTTGCTTCAACCCAGRATAAGATGTTCCATCAACAGGGATTGTGAAAAACCACACCCTGCTACAGGTCAGAGGTTCAACTTCCAATTTCTGCTGATGCTTCACCTGTTGACCTAAAGGACTTCCAGAAATCTCCCTCTCACCTATCCAAGGGCATGCCCTCATCACCTTTGTCATATSTGGAAATTAGTTCACACAATTAATTCTGGGCTAATAAATTAAGTTCAGAGTGCAGCAGCAGYACCTGGCACACCATAAATACATTTTGCTCCCGAGTGTTCTGCCCCAGTGCTCCAGATTTGGGGCTCCCCCCTCCTAAGCCCAGTGCCTACATATTTATTCCCTGAAGCAGCCTGGGGTKCAGTCCCTCCACACCCCATCAGCAYGTTCCTTGTTGCAGGAAGRRAATTTTTATTCCTGTAARCTTTCAAGAGATTGGTCTGTACAAAACAGGTGCGATGTTTACACACTGGAGAAAGGAGGAACACCCTGAAGGCAAACAGGTTCCATGCATGGGAAGAGCAGCAAGAAAGGAAGGGCCAAGGGAGTACAGAGGGTCAAAACAGGAAAAGCAGTGGATTTTCCCTCTTCTCAGTCCTGAAGGGACCAAGAGTGGCACCAGGTACAGGAGCTGTGCTCCCTGCTGATCTGGAGAGGGCTGTTCCCATGGAATACATGAGGCATCTGAGCAAAAGAATGGTTCCCTGGCAGAAGCAGAAAGGGTCTAATTAGCTTGAGCATTTTCCAGGCTGAACTTCCACCTGTGCTCGGAACATTTCCAAGAGAATGAACGAAATAGAAATAGAAAGGGTAAAGAACACTGGAAGACACAACAGGGCCAAAAGAACTGGCCTGTGCTGATAACAGGATCCTGCTCAGGATACTGCTCCCACGTTAACCTGAGCAATTTGGTGCTTCCATCAATATCAGAAGGCTGCACCAAAGACTCRTTTACCACAAGCAATGAAGAAGAGACAGAGCAAGGACTTCAGAGCTGGCACTTCCCCTGCACACAGCAGACCTTTGACAGGCCACTCGGACACGCATTTTGGTGTTGGTGAGATTCTGCACGACAAAGGCACCTTGCACTTTTTTCATATTATTTTTCCACCAGCRCCAGGTGGATCTGGGGATGTGGGAGGACGAGGAGGGGAGGAAGCTCAGCWGTGGGAATGACTTACTGGCCACCAGGAGCTGCACCCTGTGCTCATGGTCGGTCTTGTTGAGCACCTCCCTGCAGGTGTAGTTGCCCTCGTCCTGCACACGCAGCTCAGTGATGCTCAGGGAGCTGTTGTCCACCAGGGAGAAGCGAACGTCCGGCGGGAAGGAGACCCTCGAGGAGAAGAGGGGTGGGAAGGAGCGCGGGTCCCCCTGGAACCACACCACCTCGGTGGCTTCCTTGGACACGTTGCGGCACAAAAGGAGGATGCTTCCTCCCACCCGCCCAAAGACCACTTCGTCTGTTCCTRGAAGAGAGAAGGGACGGGGTTAGGGATACAGGGAATGGGCAAAGCCACCTTCTGCCAGCGAACACCTGGATCTCTGATCGATGTCAACCCTCTGAGGTGCTTGTTAGGGGACTACTGAGGTGACTACAAACACGCAGCGCAGACCGGGATCGGGAAAMGGGACACGGCTCCCTGCTGCCCTCCCCTCAGCCCGCGCTACCTGCRGCCGCCCGGCGCGGCACCAGCCTCCAGACGCAAAGGGCGAGGAAGAACCGGGCCGGCGGGAGCTGCATGGCTGCGTGTCGCTGCCAGAGCCCCGCGGAGGCGGTGCTGCCCGGCCRCCGCCCCGCCGAGAGACCAGGGGAGGGCGGGCGTGCCCGGCCAGGGAGACCCGCCCGCCAGAGCCCGTGAGGGGCCCACGAYGGGGTCGTCGATCGGGTCCCGCCGCCTCAAGGCCGCCATCTTGGGCAGCGGCCATCTTGGGACCCCCCCCCGACCCCTCCCGCCATCTTGGGGTCACCTCAGTCCCCCCGCCCGCCTTGTGGGGCGGCTCCCTCGGAGCGGGGCCGGCGCTGCCCTCCGGTGCCGCCCATGGATCGCAGCGTTTAAAACAAACGGTGGTGTTCCCTCACAGGTGTTCCCTGAGCGATAAGCGAGCCTCTGGGGAGCTGCTATAACCCCACTTAGAGACACCCCACAAGCAGCGGAGCGGGATGAGCAGAGATGAACGGTTATTCCTCTGTGTAACCCCGCAGCAAGGGTTGTTACCAYGCAACTATACTCGGGTTTCTCCAGGACACCTTATACTTGGGGAAGGCACATAACAGCTTGGAAGCACCAAGGCGTGCGTGAAACAGAGCGTTGAGACCCACGGGGYTGCCCCGCTGGGCTCTGGCACATTAATTATTAATTAACCTAATTAGCGGCCGGSACAGCAGTGCTACTCCAGGTAACCGGAGCTCGGCCGGCCCCTCTCGGGCCCGCCAGGGGGCGCCAAAGAGCTGGCGCGGGGATCCCGGCGGTGCGTCTCCACCAATGGGAGCGGAGCATAACGGCGTCTCCACCAATGGGAGCGGAGCGAGGCGGCGCCTCCGCCAATGGGCGTGGGGGGCGGGCAGCGCGGAGCCGCCGCCGCCGCAGCTGCTGGAGTCGCCGTCGCAGCCACAAACATCGCCATGCCGGTCGACCTGGGCAAGTGGGACGGGCCGCTGAGCCTGGCCGAGGTGGAGCAGAAGCCGGCGCACCCGCTGCGRGTCAAGTATGGCTCCGTGGAGATTGACGAGCTGGGCAAAGTGCTCACGCCCACTCAGGTGAGCAGCGCTCGGCCCCCGCGYGAGGGTCGGCGCGGCAAAATGGCGGGATGCGGTCGGGCCTCTTGCGCTGTTGCTCTGGCAGCTGCCGCCGGAGCTTTACCGGGTGCGGGGGGAGACAGAGGAGCCCAGCTTTGGTGTGGGCTTGGTACGGGGGTGGCCGTGCCGCAGGAGAAGGCCCATAGGTCTCGTAGCCAGGGCGAGCTGGCACGAATGGCCTTGAACCGKTGGTGTGTGTCGCTGCCAGCGCTGCTCCTGCTGGCCCTGTGTGCAGGGCAGGTGGCTGGCTCTGGCAGCGGGGCCGCTGCTAAYGCGCTCGTCCCTGCAGGTCCAACATCGCCCCACCAGCATCGAGTGGGATGGCTGTGATCCCCAGAAGCTTTACACCCTGGTTCTCACAGACCCTGATGCGCCCAGTCGGAAGGACCCCAAGTTCAGGTAATGGGGATGGGAAGCTCCCTGTCTTGCTTGGGGAAGATGGAGCATCTCTCTTGGGCTGAGCAGAGGCTTAGGAGGAGGTGGGACTGTGCTCTGCCTAYGGTGGGGCTGTGGCTTGGCATAGAAATGGTGTCCTTGCATCTCTCCTTGTGCCAGGGACAGCATGAGGAGGAGCAGCTGCTCTTGCCAGGAGTGTTCAAAGGTCCGTTGTAACTGCAGCAGCACAGCATTTTATATTTGTTCTAATTTATCACATGTGTGAGTTGTAATTAGGTCTTTGCTGATAGCAGGATATTAAATCTGGGACCAGCTCACCTTCCTCAAAACACAAATGTGTGGAATATCCTCTCTCAGAGGTCAGGCTGTGGGTTTCCTGCAGCCACATGGAGCTGATTTTGGCAGGCTGTGCATCCCAGTGCCTGCTCTGGGACTGGTGCTCTTTGGGTTTGGCAAACCAGGAGTGGCAGCTGTTTGTTTACCCTATGCTGCCAACCTCGTGGAAAAGCAGCAGCTTAGAGTGACAAAGGGTCTTGTTTGGGGCTCTGCCAGTTTGATTGTTCTTTGTCTTCTCCTCTCAGGGAGTGGCATCACTTCTTGGTGACCAACATGAAAGGCAACAATGTGGGCAGTGGGACCGTGATGTCGGATTACGTTGGCTCCGGGCCGCCCAAGGGAACAGGTCRGTACCTGCAGCAGTTCCCATGGGCACACCCAGTGCAGAAGGGTGGGGGGAAGCCTGCAGGAAGGTGCCTGTGGAAACAATCCACACAGGACTGCTGGTGGTCACAACCAGCACGAGCAGAGATCCAGCCTCTCTATATGTTCCCTAAGCTGCCTTAAGCTCCATCATGGTTATCCAGCTCTGGGGTCACCTCAGAGCGCCCTGAGCCCCAGGGTGTGCAGGTGGTGACGCTGTCCCTCCCCACAGGGCTGCACCGTTACGTGTGGCTGGTGTACGAGCAGCCCCAGCAGCTGGCCTGCAGCGAGCCCATCCTGTCCAACCGCTCCGGGGACAAGCGTGGCAAGTTCAAGGTGGCCGCGTTCCGCAGCAAGTACGGGCTGGGGGCGCCCGTGGCGGGCACCTGCTACCAGGCCGAGTGGGACGACTACGTGCCCAAGCTCTACGAGCAGCTCTCAGGGAAGTAGGGCCAGGGCTGTGGGGCACTGCAGCACCCATGGGTGGGGCCGGGCACTGTAGTTCTGTTTCGTTACTGAGTTGAACCCAATGTCCTGCTGTGACTGCTGAAAGTGTCACCCCTTTGCTGTCCCTGCTCCGTGTCCCCGTGTCCAGGCCTGTGCTGATGCCTGTGGTATCCCAGCTAGAGAGCTGCTGGTGGGTGTCCTGGWAGGGCCACTCCCTTCAAACTGACCTGCTTAAGGGAATCAAAAGCCTTTGTGAGTTACTGTCAATTCAGGGGTCTGTGCTGTYTTGGGATGGCTTTAGGTAGCAGGGCTGTAGGTATAGAACCACTTTGGGGTGGGCTGTGGAGACTCCCTTTTCTAGGAGAGGAGAGGGCAGTCTAAGGGAAACTCCCTCCCTTTTTTTTCTTTTTTTCCCCCTACATTTGGCCAGTGCCTCCACGTCACCACTAGGGTAGTGAAGGTGCAGCTCGAGGGGGAGGCAGGAGCTGGCCTAGAGCACTTCCTTCTGTTCTCTGCTGCCACTCAAAAGCTGAGACCACTTTGCTTTGTTCAGTCCTGTGGTGACCTGCCCTTTGCTCACAGTGCAATTAAAAACTTCCCAAGGTACTTGGTGTGCTTGGTGGTCTTTTGGGGGATGAGGGCAATGCTTGGGGAGCAGTGACATAGTGGAGGGTTCCTGTCCTGCTGGGAGGAACCTGGAGCCTGTGCCAGGGGCTCCCCATTCTTAGGTGACAACTCAAAGCCATGTCGTTTGTGTCTGTTAACAGACTTCACCTGCCTGTAGTCTCTTCCCAAGGGATGTCCCCACACTCCCAACCCTACAGAGGCTCCTTCCCTTCCCAGGAGCCCCCAAACCCCCCCAGCTGAACCCCAGCAGCAGCTCTGGGCAGCAGCAGCTGTACCGACCTGAAGCTACTTCCCAGCCTGGCTGCAAGTCCCAGGCGTGTCCTGCTGCTCCAGCAGCTTTGCAGTGAGGCCCGGGGATGTGTCCTGAGTGCTTAGAGCAGAAACGAGCCTTGGTCCAGCCTGATGGCTACAAAAGGGTGAAAAAGGTGAAGTCAATGTGATTCAACTTGATGGAATCAGGAGCCTTCCCCCTTTTCTCAAGCTGCTGACAAACAGGTATCAGCAGCTGTGGAAATTAGGGACTCCAGAATCTGGAAAGGTGGGTGGTGCCTACCCCAGGGCAGATTTTCAGCCCAGCCCTTAAAACATTTCAGCAGGACTGATGGTTTTCCAGGAAAACATCCCCAACTGCTCCAGCCCAAGGCCCACCAGAGTTAAGGCTGGAGCAGTGCTCACGAGGCTGATTCATCCTGGAACTGCTCAGGCTGGGAAGAAATTAAAAATCCATAAAAATCCATCGCCTTAAAAACCTCCATGGTTTGGAACCGAGCCCTGAGGTTCCTCCAGCCCCAGGCTGAGGGACACCTGTGGAACAGGACACCTGTGGAATGTGTCCCCTCCCCGTCCCYACCGTGCACCTGCGCTGGGCCACGAGCCGCCCCTCCCGCAATGACACAACCAGGCATTGTGATGAACACTTTTATTTACAAATATAATTAAAAGCTCTGACAGTTATTCATGCTCTTCCCTGGAACCTGAAAAATGTTTTTGTTGTTTTGTTGGTTTTTTTGTCCTTTTTTTTTGTTGGTTTTTTTTTTAAAGTGCATGCAAAAGAAGTAAAGCCTTTTTTTTTTCTCTTTTTATTGTAAGAAAATACACAGTTTGAAAGTGTGAATAATGCAATATTTATGACCAAGATCATGGGGTTGGGGGTGGACTTGGGGGAGGAACAAAAAAAAMCCCCMAAAAAAACAAATAAAAGAAAAACTGAAAAGGGCTGGGATGATCTAACAGACAGTGTTGAGCTCCGGAACGGAACTGGAGAGTGGGGGTGGTTGGAGCAGGAAGGGAGGGGGGGGAAAGAAGTAAAAAAATTCTTGATCAGAGAAACAGTTAAAATACAATATGAAAATAAGTAAAAGCTCTCCTTAAATTCCTTCTATACACAAAATACACGATTTGACAAAGCCCAATTTGTGCTACTGGGATCCTGTGGGCTCATTTAAGTGTATTCACATTCTCTGCGACAGCAGAAAATGATTTATGATACAATCAAGAATATGCCGAGGGGCCAGGGCTCGTCCCTGCTGCCCCTGGCATGGTTCTCCTAAAAATCACCACGTCGTCGCCCGCCCCTCCCCACCCCCAAAAAAGTAATAATATGTCACCACTGATATGTACAGCACGATTAAGTTTTTTTTTCTGTAAAATGTATCAAATTTTTTTTTCAATCTTTAATAAAATTTTTTTTATTATTTAATTATTCCTGATGAATAAATACCAAAAAAATAAAAATAAAATAAAATTATGCAGCAGCTAGTTAAGGTAAGGCTGCGGATTCAGTCTCTCTCCCCCTGGGATCGTAGATATCTTTTAATTATTAATATTTTTTTGCTTGTACTTTCATTGATTGGTGGTAAAATGAGTGATTGCTCAAAAGCAACATACATCCACTTGGCTATTTTTTTTYTTTTACTTTTTTTTTTTTCTCCATTAAAATTGTCTCCAAAG